ATCCTGTCCATTCTTATTCTAGTGCTCGTTCAAACTTCAGTAAGTCATCTTTACCACGTCTACATGCCTAAAGACATCAAGTTGCTGCAATTGGATTGGCTGATTAGCTATTTGTGTTAACAAGCAGGTAAAGGAGTGCACCTATTAGAGTGGCTAGTACATGCAAATGGTTACTGTGTATACAGTAAATAATCTGACACTGACATTGACAAACAGGAATCAGGCTGTTTTTTTCCATGTAAATTAAGCTGGCCAAACTACAAAAGTAAAAGTGGATGAAAAAATTATTTATTTATTTAGTGGCCATCTGTATTAAGTTCAACAACATAAGAAGAGACTTCATAAAAGCGGAGCTGATTGTGCTGACAAAACTGTGTGCCATCCCTGCTGCTTTCTGGAGTCTTTTGATTAGGCTTTTTTGAAATATATGCAAAACACTTTGGCAAGCAGCAAGTACCAGTTTTTAACAAGGACCAACACTATGCAGGGCTGATGGCAATCAAGGCACCTCTCTTTGTGTGTCTCTCACTCACACACAAACAAAATATTATTTGCATACAGAATCTAAATCACTTAGTGCAAACTCACTCAGTTTAATAAAACCAAAACAAAAGTGTGGGATGAATACAGACAGTCCACATTTTCATTCTGAAACTATGAAACACAGTACATCACTTACTGTAGCAACCGGTTATCTTCTGATACAAAGAATTCAACTCAGACTTTTTTTTTGTAACTTTTTCATCACTTTTATGTCTACAGGTAATCACACTGAGATACAGGGCCTCATTCTCTCAAGAGAAAACCGGTTTAGGTGAAATACAGGATTAATATAGTTACAGACAACTGCGTTTATTGTATGTAAAAGTATCAATTAAAGCAGAGTGAAATCTTGAGAAAAGTCAACATTTTCTGGTGCTACCTCTTCTATTATTAAAATATTTTAATGGAATGAAGCTGATCAATGGCAGATTATGTTATACCTTGTTACAATAAATAGAAGAAAAGTAGGAGACTTTTTCCAAGTTCTGTACATAGTGAATATGTGGTAAAGATTTTGAAGGACCATGAGCATAGACAGTGGCTGCTTTGTTTAGTTGACTATAGAACAAAAGTTTAAGTGCCCAAGAATCGATTCATGAATGTAATTATATCAGTGCAGAAATCTGCATGTGGGCAATAATGGCCAGTTACTCTGAGAGTATATAGTGTATAGTATACTGTGTAAAGAACTGTGACAGGGAATGCCATCTTGTACTATTTATTAATTTATGCTAATTTGTTTTCATAGTGTAGAAAATAGCATTTGTATAGCAATTGTTTAGCAATATATGCTACAGACAGGGGTGAAAGTAAGCCGGTACAATCCAGTACTGCGTACAACTAAAGCTGTTATTCAGAACGAGATCACAGCTGCACTTTCTGTCAGAACAGATCTGTTAGCAATAGGCAGTATAAAATGCAATTAATCTGTTTATAAAAAGTTTTTTTTCCTCATCCCAAATTGTTTCTGAACTGTCCCTGCCAGCTCCTCTTTCCTCAGAACTCAAGGCTTTTATGAACCACCAGGCGCGGCCGAGTCATAATGGCAAAATTAATTCACCTCATAAAATAGTTCCTCCTGATAAGCAATGTAAAATGCTTATTCTCTCAGTTTGACATTTGTTGTTCCATTGTGTTTTTCCAACTACTTCAACGATTTTAAATAAACTAGGTTTTAGTGATAAAGTCTCAGTTTTTCACTTGATTAAAGTTAAAGTTACATGGAAATTATAACATCCATATTGATTCAGGAATTTCCTGTCCGCCCAGAGGTTTTTTTTACATGGTGATAGAAAAATCTAAAGACCGCCTGTCATATTGTCAGATTGCAGTTAACACCCCTGACTTCTTAAGTCTGGAAGACTTAATAAATAAGCTAGGTGAGGCGGAGAAAAAAATCAACAAGATGGCTCTGTGGCATCACACTCACTCAGAGACATTTTCAGCTTTACGCAGGGAGTAGGTCTACATCACAGAGGTGTCTTATTTAATCTAAAACTAGATACCGCGCAGCGGTAACATAATGACCCCCGCACGCACAAATGCACCAGAACTCAGACGTTTTTATTCCTAATAAATGTCATGCTACCAGATGCATCCCAAAATTGTAGTGGTTTGGGTGGGGGGGTCTTTTTGTTTTTGTTTTATTT